CGATCGGGAATAAAGGAGGAACGCTGGGCCAATCGCGGTCATCCGTGCTTTTATAAGAACGAAATGGCGCTTTTAGTGACATTTTGCATACAAATCCCCATCGAGTAGGGCGCAGTCACCCAGTTTCGGTGGAAGTGTGCGAGTTCGATAGGGATTCAAGTAGGAAGGGAGCGTGTCAGCTTTCTCTGACCAAGACCATTCGACTCAGCACCCCGGAGACTGCAACTGGTGAAATTTTAATTTTTGCCTTAACTTCCCCTTTAAGCGCTTACCAAAGTGTGTGGCATCTTGCACCTGCATGATTGTGATTACAGGCAAGCCACATTATCATTATCATCCTTTCACACAGCCTTGCTTGCCTTCCTGCCATATCATATTTCTTTTCTCACTCACGGACCATGTGAGTTTGGCACATTTTCCATCCAGGACTTTTGCACCCACCAGACCTCAAACCTTCACAGATTCCTTCCTATGCTGCTGTATAAATACCACACTAGCTGTGCATCACTGTAATCAGTTGTCTGAAGATTGCTATAATTATGGCATGAAACTTTAAGTTACAGCCATCAAGACGCGTGGTTTTTCTGTGACTCGTGTGTATCTATGTATCTATGTACAACATGTGGCAACATCATCTGTAGAAGGCGATGTGCATCTAGACAATGCATATTGTACAGGAGGCAAAGGTAGGGTTTCTCACTGATTAGGCGATGGCCATCCTGTTGGATGAGGCGAGCCAGAGTGGTTTGTGCCCGGGCGGACAAAGCGCTTGTAGATCACACAATGACACATGGAGTCCAGCACTCCAGAGGGATTCCGGAGGAAGCCGAGATACTGCGATCCTCGAACAGCCAACTTGGAAACATATACCAGATCTCTTCAAGACATTGGACTTACGAGCGAGTTTGAGGTGACGCAAGTAACTCATTATCGTTTTCCAGGCTAATGAAGCTAAGGAAAAATGTTGATAGGACAAACCTCCGGCTCTTCAACAACATTCTCAAAACTAATGGTTTCGCGACTAAACTTCCGTACCTTCTCCTCAGGTGATAAACACGCAAGAGCAAACAAGAGCAAATACAATGAATTATGAACTCGGATGGTGAGCCAATTAAATTATGGTGAAAAAGGAGAAGGACAAAATGTTACGAGTTATGCTAACTGTCCACCAACCACCATTTTGTCGCACTCGTTGACTGTATAAGATCTGGTTACGTTGGTGGACAGTTAGTCATAATTCGTAACATTTTTTCCTTCTCCTTTTTCACCATAATTTAATTTAATTGGCTCACCATCGGAGTTCAACTTTGCACACTGTATGAGCCGCCATGACCTATTCGGCAAAACGTACGTCATGTGGAACAACTTGTTATTGCACATAACTAGTCTATCATATTTACATGATACAGTGTAGTGAAGTTCAGTAGAATGCTGACGTTTCCGTTTGTCACAATTCGTCTTCGCTTAGCTTCCCCTTTCTTTGTTTACTACATAAACTTGAGCCTCCCAAGTTGGGTGGTTTGTTACGTCGTCGAGTTGTAGTAAGGCCGGTGTCATATAGTAGAATGACCCCCGTAGTGGAAGGCCCCCCCCCCTCCCCCCCCCCCGGTCATTGTACTATATAGTAGAATCCAAAAAGAGCAAGGAGCACACAGAAAACGCAAAGAAACACTGAACTTTCTGCAAACTTTCTTCCAACTCCGAAACAAAAACAATCCCACTCAAGGTGGGATGTTCATGTCTCCTAAAGAGGAAAAGTGCGCGACCTATGTACAAATGTTGTGGACTTTTCACCACATATTCCCACAACCAAGAGTACATAACCCCGGACTCTTGCCACAATCCATAATGTCCACTTGGAATCTGTGGTGTAAACTCCATCCCTTTCTACCTGCACATGCGAAACGACCCGTCTGGTGGACTCTGTAGTAGAATGACAGGGGGAAATCTACTATATAGTAGAACGACGCCCCGGTCATTGTACTATATAGTAGATTGCCCCCGGGGTCACTCTACTATAATTATAGTACAATGCCCGGGGTCCATCTGCTGGGGGGTCATTCTACTATAGTACACCGGTATGTCCAATAGTCTTACTAGTTTCGTCATCATCCAGTAACGTTTGGCATTTTTGTTGCCGTGGCGCGGGGCTCGTGCTCTTCTTCATTGCGCTTTCCTTCCCCTCTTGGACCTTTTCGAACCTGAGTCTTCCAAGTTGGGAGGTTGTTGGTTTGTGCGCCTTTGAGAAGTGTTGGAGCTAGGAGTCAGGTCGCCGTATGTCTCAGTACTCCTTATCAGTTTTGTGCCATTTTGCCGCAACTCTGCTGTGATAGTTGCTAGGACTTCAATGTACACAACCAAGAGTGGCTCCACAGTAGCAGAACAACTAGAGGTGTCGAGCATGCAGAGGACATGTGCTACATGCACGGTGTTGAACAGCTAGTCGATCAACCACCGCACGGCTGCAACGCACTGGACCTGATTATATCCGACCTACCCGTAGAATCATTGGTTTCTGTCTTGCCACCTCTTGGCAAATCTGACCATGCCTGTCTACTTGCCAACTTCCAGATCCGTGTGTCACGCGAGCTTCCCATATCATGAACTGTATGGAGGTATCAGCATGCTGATTGGGCCAGGCTTCGTCACTTCCTCAGAACCACCAATTGGGCAGCTATTGCTCGAACTGATCTAGACCTGTCATGCACTGGCATCTCAGAGAGGATCCTGGCGGGAATGAAGAGATTCATACCCTCTAAAACCCTGAAAACCCGTGCATTCGATCCTCCATAGTGGACCCTGAGTGCACTGCTGCCACAGTGAGGAAATGACGTGCATGGAGATGCCTGAGAGATGACCCGTCTGACGACGATCGGCAGTAAGCTTACCAAGATGCTAGGCTCTCAACGGTTGCCTGTCTCAAAACTGCGAAGAGTGCTTTCATGGCGAAACTGAGACAGAAAATGACCTCAAAATACTGCTATTTCCATTATTTTCTTCCTATGCAAGTCACAACTCCTGTTTTGAGTTGTATTTATTCTCTCTTTTTCTTTCCCTACTAGTTGCTGTTACCCTCACTGATCCTTATGCACATATATACAGCATTCCCTCTCTAGTGGGACCATTGGTATTAGGCTAGGGCCTGTTTTGGACTTCCCACTCTAAATAAAGAATACAAATAACAAACAAACAAAGCAGCTGCCACCCAGTGACTGGTGGCACACCGTCTAGTGTGCCTCTGGGAATGGGTGTAGTCAAACTGTTCCGACAATACGTCATCCCGATGGACGTGAGTACACAGCCAGCGCAGACAAAGGAGAATGCATGGCCCGCTATTTTGCAAGATGACCTGTCAGCCTCATTCCCATATGTCAAGCCTCGAAATTAACAGGCTCTTTCGGATGTCCGTTTCCGTGTGGCTGTTGTCGAGCGAACCCTTCGGCAGTTCAACCCATCAAAGGCAACCGGGCCGGATGGGATACCGGCACGAGTGTTGAAAACCTGTTCTGCTGAACTGGTTCAACCTATTTCTACACTGTTCACGCGGTGCTTCCACACTAGGATACAGCCCAAGACATGGTATATTGCCAACATAGTCCCTATATTTAAACGGAAATCAAAGTTTCTACCCTCCAATTACCGTCCAATTTTGCTCTTGTGTATTCTGGCCAAAGTGATGGAGACAATTATTAACAGAACAATAACTAATTTCCTCGAGTCGAACAACGTCTTCTCCAAAAGACAGTTTGGATTTCGCCATGGCCATCATGTAGCCGACCTCCTTTCCAGCCTCCACGATCAGTGGCTGCATACAGCCGGGGAGAAAGGCGTAGTACGCATACTCGCCATTGACATAGCCGGCGCGTTTGATCGTGTATCACACCCCGGTGTGCTACACAAGTCCAACGTATACGGCCTACGTGGGCAACTGCACCAGTGGCTCAGCAGCTACCTTAGTGAATGCTACCATCAAAATGGTCATTTGTGGCCAGACATCTTCAAGGCTCCCAATTCAGGCTGGAGTCCCCCAGGGCAGTATTCTGGGTCCGACTCTCTTCCTCATATACGTGAACGACTGCGAGGACCACCTACCAGCCGGTGCTGACCTAGCCTCATTCGCAGACGACACTACACTGCATACCAACATCACCCCCCCCCCCCCCCATCCAACAAGATACCACCCAAGCCCTCCAGCTAGCAGTCAACAACATCTCCCTCTGGGGTCAAGAATGGAAGATAGATATTTGAACCAGCCAAATCCCAAGTAGTGATTGTCAGCTTCCACCGCACCCAATGGAACATGCCACAGATTGATTTCAACGGATCTAACCTGAGGGAACAAGTGGAGCTCAAAATCTTGGGCGTCAGTTTTGATGGTCAGCTTACCTTCCGGCAACACAGCAGCGACTTGGCGCTTTGTGTTAGGCTTTCCACGTTTTTGACGCGCCCGGTCGCATCCAAGCCTACAATGCCTTTGTGCGCCCAGTGATGGAGTACTGCCCCATCATCTGGATGTAAGAAGCCCGATTCCATCTTGCAAGACTCGACCGTGTGCAAGCCCACTATGCAATTTTTTGTCTTTGCCTGCGAGCTGTGTTCATTGTAAATAAAAAAAAAATTCACACTCGCTGACTGTATAAGGTCTGGTTACGTTGGTGGACAGTTAGTTAGTCATAACTCGGAACATTTTGTCCTTCTCCTTTTCACACTGAAGTATGTCCAGCAGTGTAGTGATAAAACCGGGTCAAAGCAGAATAGCGAAAAACAACAATGATTAATGCGTGACCATTATACACCATGCATATACATACATCATTGTTCTTGCTCTCATTTGCTTGTGCCGCTATAATACCTTGTTGATGCGGAAGGAGACAATGTACGGGAGAAGGTATGTCACAACATGAAGAGAAGGCACGGAAGTCTACTCGCTAAAAAGTATTCACCTACGTAATTCTTCTTTCTGCTCATAAAACGAGCATTCATGGGATAATATGACTTACATTATTCTTTGGTTCCAACGAATGTCCAGAAGTGAGAAGACATTCTACTACGGAAACATCACCTCTCTGTGCTGCATCATGTAATGGTGTGTCACCAGCCTGGAAGTAGCAGCAAAATTAAAGACAAGACATGTACACACATACCCACAGTCATACACATGTTGATGCATACGCACACATGCATGCACACACACATCATGCATACATGCACACACACCCACACACACACACACACACACACACACCCACACATCCAAAAACACACACATAAAGACACACACACACACACACACCTCAGACCCCAGATCTCAGACTTTCCCATCGCAGAAGCAATGGTAGCGAACAGCTACGTTAGACACAGCAACTAGTGCTGGGATAACACATACACACACACACATTAACTACAACACGCAGCAACTTGCGGTACGGGGGAGTGCCGGCCATCGGAGGGAGAGGCTACGGAGAGAAATGCGTAGACACGGCCGAAGCGGAATGTTGGCAGAGCCAAGTATGTACGAGAGAGGATTCAGCGTCGGCCGGGTAGACACTGCCAGAGCAGAATGTTGGTGGAGCCAAGCTTCTACAAGATTCTGCGGCCGAGGGACGGCGCTCAGTAGCCGGAAATGAGCGTGGGCAACACCCCATTAACCCTTTCACTGCTGGCCTAGTTTCATCAGGTTATTTCCTTTAACATGCCTAAATATCCATGGAGCAATACATCTTCGGCCAGCATTTTAAGGTTATGCTAACTGTCTGGTCTCAGAAGTCCATTATGGCAGGGCATCATTTTTAGGCAAAATCCGAAGATTATGCCAGAAATTATGCCAGCATGATCTGCCAAGGGCTACCTGTGGCTCTTTAAACAAGGGTTAACATCCCATTGCACACACAATATTGAAGACAAGGTTTAGGCTAGACTGGGATTCACGGAGGGAAATGGGGTTAGGCTTACACCCAGGTCACCACATGGTAGGACGAATGTGGAGGGGGCCGCTAACAAGGTTAGGCTTACACCGCACTTCCACATGGTAGGACAGATGTGGAAGTAGGCTGCTAACGGGGTTACGCTTACACCCGGACATCTGCATGGTAGGACTAATGCAGAGGGGCTGGTAACCTAGAGTTGGGTGTCAGCTCAAAGGCTTACGGGGTGCTTTGCAGCCACCCACCATGTGGATGCCACCCAAAAATGAAATTGCTGGGGGAGGCGTGAGCCCCAATCTAGCTGACCTTAACATGGAAACTACATGAAAGTGTACAGCGATGTTCAAGGACATAACTTTGAGTCTACAGCAGTTAGTGTCAAGAGGGCAGGTGCCATCAACTATGCAGGGAGCAGCACGGGAGAGCAAGACCACTCGTACAGAGAGGAGTGCTAGGAGGGCAGTGCAGACGCTCCTGCTGCCAGCAGTGCTTATGGGGGTAGTGTGGTCACCACGACCTATAGCAAGTAGTGTTAGGGGGAAGTGCTGTCACTCATACAGCAGATAGTGTCAAGAGGGCAGTGCCGTCACTCAGGCAGCTGACAATGCTAGGAAGGCGGTGCATGTACTCACGCTGTCACCAGTGCCTTCGCGATTGGCTCCATGTCCGATTCTGACAGACGGATGTATCAGAGGTCAGCGTTGCTCTGCCATCGGCCGGCCCTTTGGATGACGTAAGGTGGCAGGCAATTCCTTCCGGCGGCAGTGGCTGCACCGATACGCAGGCTATGGTTGGAGATCTTCTGGCCAGGGGGAGCTCGGCGAAGTAAGTCGTTCATGTCCGAGGGGCGAAGCGGCTGGCGAGACTGGTAGCGGAAATACGCTCCCGCCACTTGGGGGCGCAGCTGTGCGTACTTTCCTAATGCGGCTACCGGGCAGGTGTTATTGTTGGTGGCGCCGACCGTCCTCTCTCCTCTCCCAGTTGCATTGTTTTGGAGAATGAGACAGCCAGCCTCACTGCGTTCTCCCGGATGCAGACGCGTTCCCGCGTCAACATCTTCTGCGGGTCGGTAGAGGCGTACTCACTGACTACCAGGAACGCGTAGTAGGTGAGTGTGATAGTGCTCCAGAGCATGGCTTGGTCGGCCGGTGATAGACCGGAGTGCGACAGGAAGCCCTGGATTGCACGGAGGTGTTGCAGCGGGACAGCACGGCGTTCCTGCACCTGGCTGCTCGTGCACTGGTTGCGGGCGATACCCTGGAGCAGCAAGTCCAGTCGCCCGTCCTGGAACGGGGACAACGACAGGATGTTGACGATTTTGTAATGCCAGAGGACATGGAGGTAGACCTTGACAGTTGCCAGCCGGCACTTGGATGACATGTACCGTAAAGTCTTGTATAAAAGCCGCGGAATCTATGACCTTCTTGGTGAAATTTTGCAGGCTTCTATATCAGACAGGCTTCTATACAAGACAGGTATTTCTATGTATGTCAACACTAAAACCAGGCTTATATGTGATTTGATGGGCCCAAAATCGCGGCTTCTATTCGAGAGCGGCTTCTATTCAAGTGCGGCTTTTATACAAGACTTTACGGTACGCTAGGATATCCAGTAGGCGGGTGGCCTGAATGGGGTATAGCGCTACACGGTGCAGGCTGGCGTAATCTCTCGTATGCTGTCACACCGGCAGCATACGACCGGGCGGTACTTGTTGCCACTCCCGCAAGGATAAGGGCCATGGTGTGGTCTGAAGGCGTGTGAGCTGCCGGGCTTCTAGCGACATGGGGACAGGAGACGCCTGGGGATGTAGCTTCCGGAAGCTCTCGACCTGCAGCCGGGACAAACGGTCAGCAAGAACGTTGTCAACACCACGTATGTGTGCTAAAAACACAACCATGTTATGCTTGGCAGCCGCTAACAACGCAATCCTGACAAGTGTCATGATCTCTGGGCACCTAGACATTCCTGTGCGCCAGATTGTGCAGACAGCTTCGTTGTCACATTGAACTAGTAGTCGACGCTTGCACAGTCGTTTGCCTAGCGTCACACAGATAAGGGCGCCATTGGTGTGAAACTTTTGACGAGCATAGTTTGGCGGCTGTGGAGGTTGAACTGTGAGGAAATCATTGAGGTAGTGCAGCAGGTCATGCACATTGAATCTATTCGTGGCTACCCAGCAAAGGGCGTCGGGTAGCCTGGTGAACAAATTGGAGAGGACATGTCATGCATAAGGGAGTTAACGAATGCGCGGTCAGGGTGCCTGGCCAGAGCCGACTCAAGCCGATCCAAGTGAACGGGCGTCCAGTGCGACTGTTGGCGCAACGGAACACCTGCTGGCTGGTTGCTCTGTGCGACACTCTTGTGCGCCGTGTCCGGAGACGTTGCAGGTGCTGCATTGGTGAGCGTACAAACAGGGGTTTCAATGACACAAGCCCCGGTTGTAGAGTCGACACCGCTCGGTTGACGAGCGTGTGGCGCCGGAGGCTGCCGCGGAGCTGGGCCGAAAGGGCCGCACAGCACGGGCATCAAACACGGCAGTGTACAGTGTTTGTGGTGTTGTGTCCCAATGACGTGACGGCTGGGACTCGATGCTGTGGCGGAAGGTGCAGTCATACTCCGCAACTGCGGAAAACGTGTATTTTTTGCTGGCGTTCAGAATATGGTGCTGATACGCCAACAGTTCTACTGCTCTCCCCGGATGCGCATCTAGATAGACGGCTGCGAATATCGTTCATGCTTCAAGCCAATTTTAGATGTCCGAAATGCGCCGGGACATGCGCGGCTGGGAGGACAGCGTGAATTTTCCGGGTGCCTCCTCGCCCAACACCAGAGCGTGGGGGCTTGGCACGTCCATGGCGGTCAGTGGCAACAGTTGTTGTAAGTCAACAAAATGGTGCGTTATGATTTTGTCGATCACGCTCTGGGGTGCGCTTGATTTTTACAGGCCCTTCATCATGCAGCACGGCGCAGGAAACACTAGACGAATGCAAAGTGGACGTACCTAGGGCTGAGGTTGCTATTTGCGCTGCACCTTCCAGACGGTCCAGTAAACGGTTTCATGGCGGTCGCGATTGCGGCGGACACGGGAGCTACAGGTATAGTAGGTTCGTGGGTGTCTCTGTCCTCGACATTTTGTCGCGCAGCCACCGCGGGGGTCTCAGAGAACTCCGCGTGGGGTCCGAATTCGGATTGCATCAATTCGGATTGCATCAACCGCATCAACCGGGAAAGCAGCTCAACGACAGCGCTACGGGTAGATGTGGAATGCAGTGTGAAGTAGCTACGGGCAAATGTGGAGTGCTATGTGCAGTAAACGCAGGCGGCCACGCGCTGAGAGAGCGTTACGTGCGTGTTAACTACAGTTAACACGCGCTGAGAGATCGTTACGTGCGTGTTAACTACAGTTAATACTACGCCTCAACTGAGATTTTTAAAACTTATTGGTTGTGATTCGGCTGACAACCCTCTACAGGTTACCCTGCGTACGTGCCTGGAAGGTGGAGAAGATGATGTCACCATCAACCATTGTGATCAGACATGCCAATGATGCAGAGTAAGTGGTCAACATTGACCTTATGAAGCTAGACTCAGCTCCTGTAGTACCAGACACTGCGGATGTCCACAGCGCTCAGCCGAGCCCTGCCGAGAGTGACAGTGAGAGTGACACTAGTGATAGTGGAGCCTGGGGCCTGACATTTGACGGCGGAGGCAGTGACTCAGTACCAATGCGATATTGTTCTGGAGTATTGGCGTCTGGAGGGAGAGTTGTAATAGATTGACTAAGTAACTGTCGACGCCACCTCATCTATCTATCTCTCTCTCTCTATCTATCTATCTCTATCTCTCTGTCTATTCCTTTCTTTATATCAAACACATTTACTGTTGATCACTACGTACCAATTATTGTTAGGCTTTGTATTATTAATTCGCGCTGTGGTCGTGACGTGACGTTCTTCCTTTTTCCAGTATTATTGTGCGTGCACATGATGATGTAGGTCGCCATTGTGTCCGTGTCATGTTGGTTCGCAAGCCTTTATCCTTTTTCTCTAGCTCTTTTAGTTTTATATATAGAGGCCGAGTTTTCCGCATCCGTAAGAACGCCACCACCCTTCAAGGATCAAGGCGCAGATGCAGCTGCGAAGATGCAGATGCAGACGCAAACCGTGA